AAAACACATAGTTGCTTTCAAGAAAAAATATGTAGTTTGCAACATGCAACTGCATACTTTTTTTTAAAACCAATGTGTTTTCTTTATACCAATTGATTCGTCTCATTATTTTATGCATAAAAGTATTAAGGTAAGATTCCCAAAATTGAGTGTTTTACAAGATATTTTGTATTTTATGTCAAAATACTGTAATTTACAAGCCTCATAACTCGAAAAGTACTTAATGAAAAATAACTTCATTATAGTGTTTTTGAAAAGCTCTTGACACCAGCTATTAGATTTTGGAATAAAAAATAGGGGTTTCCATTTAAAAAATTACTTTGACCTTCAAATGACCTTCAAGGTCACGGTCAAGGTCAAATCCAAGATCACCATTGAAAAGCCAGAAAAATTTCCTAAAACTTTTGTATTTAACATTTTTTCGTAAAATGCCTTCCTCAAAACTTATTCGGGGGTTTCCATACTTTTGCCTCACCCTGTATATGCATATATCGCAGCACGACGCATATAGTGCGACAATGACAGCTCATTTCTGAAAGATGCGATTTCGAAACATAATAAAATCATATATGGTTGTATTCAGCGTAAAAAATGCTACAACTTTTGTCATAACAAAAATTTTGAAATTTGTAAAAATAATAAGAAGGGGTGAGGGTAAATTAAAAAATATAAAATTTTTTAAAAATCGAGCTACGCGGTTATAAAGCTCATAAAAGACCATGCAACTTTTATTCGAAACATTTTTTGATATCTCTTACAGTTTTGACGATATTCAGTCAAAACCAAAAAACCGTTTTAGCTTGTAGGGGTTGTTTCAACCCTAAACGTGTGAGAAAGCACATAAAAAAAATACGTGTCTCTTATTTTGAGCTACTTTACAACATATTTAAAGCTCGTCAAAATCGGAGGGGGACACTTGGGTCCCTTGTAAGTACAAGCGTGTAAAATGTCCCAGTATTACCAACATTTTAAGAAATCTTATAATTTTAAATGATGGTAATACTTTTGATCATAATCTATAAATGTAATAATACAACGATACGAGAGAGCGAGAGTACAAGATTGAAAATTGTGAAGCTCTATCTCTATAAATTTAATCTCAATGGATCATATTTTGGAAGTTAATAATAAAATAAAACATTAAAAAATACAATAAAAAATATGCCATACAAATTTATTACTTATTATTATCAATAAAACATTTGTTACATATTTTATTATATTTTCAGAATTCACGTGCAAACATTGTAACAACGCAATTGCTTCATTGGATCATTTTGCTAACATTACTGCTTATTGAAGTATCACTATCACTACTTATCTCAGCAGTTTTAAAAGTAAATATAACCTTACGATTCATCATCTGCAATTTACATAAAAGTAAAATTAAAACAAAATTTAATCAAAATATATCCTCATTTTAAATTTGGTTAACTATAAAAATTAATTACAATAATTTTTTGTTATTACAATAATGTCAATCTCTTCTAATTTGTTGTTACAATAATTACAATAATGTCAATCCCTCCTAGTAATAAAAATGGAGAACTATAATGCCCTCTACTGAAATTTTCAGAAATTAGATTTACACTTTATCGTTCCAACAAAAGTTTCACACGGTGTAACACAGTACAATTTAGCGTGTTCTAGTTGGAAAACACCCACTGTCATTTCATTTTTAGTACCATCGAAATGATGGCGCTTTCGCGTCGGAGTTCGCCCGTCACTTCAGCATCCTCTTAAGACTAATATGATGTCACACGTTATGGAACTTGTGACTAAATTAGTTCTGTTAGTATTGTCACAGACGGAATAAAAAGTGGGTATCACTTTTCACTTAAAAACTGTACTCGGATTTTGCTGACATTTTATTCGTAACTGATAAGCAAATGTAAAAATAAATTTACTATATTCTATTATCTGTCTAAAATCTTGTACGGAAAACCTTAAAAGTTTATTTACAGATTTTAAACAGAATTTAAAAAATATATGTAAAGTTATAAAATGCAATTTTTCATAGAAATATTAGTAACCCATACAGCACAGAACATTGCAATTACATTGCAGCAATGTTACAATCTTGCAAGTTGCGATGTAATATTGTTGAGACATTATTGCAACCTGTAATTGTAATATTTCATGAGAATGTGACAGCAACATTCCAATAACATTGCAATAGCAATATTCGGTAATCGCTAGTTCGTTCGTTTACCGCTGTGACGCGCGTTGCAAAATCTATCTCGTATTTAAGTTTTAGTCATGATAATTATATGAATCTTGCAAAGAGTGGCTAGTAAGATTAAAGACATAGTAATTTACGGCGGCGGGTATACGAGAAGCGAAATTCTCTGCTAGACATAGTATTTTTATCAGTTTAATTTTTCTGATACGACCTCAACACAGGGAATTCAGATATTGAACTGATTGTTCAAAAATTGGACAGATAAATGTCCGAATAAATAAAAATATATGCAACATTATTCTAAGATTGCAATAACAATGCATTATTGCAAATTCATTACATTGCAATATTACTGTAATATTTCGTTACAATCTTCCTAAAAGCGGACATTTTAACGTTGCTGCAATCCCACAGCAATGATGCAACAACATTTTGCAGTGAATTTGCAATATTACAACATTGCGATGAAAGATTGATGCAATGTGTATGCAATCTTTGTGTGCTGTATGGGAAATATTAGTAAATAAAATATTATTAATTAATAGTTATTTTATCGCAAAAAATAAATATTTTGTAATTATATATTTTTATTTTATTTTTATTCTACTACTTTTTTTGTTTACACATGTATCGATATTTTTTTTTAATTTTTAGATATGTTGTCGATACGATGGGCCCGAAGAAAATCCTCGAGTTCAGAATCTGAAAGGAATTGTTACAACGTGCAAACGTCTCAGGTGACTACTGAACGAGGTTCCAATAAAAAAGACAAGAAAAGGATACAGGAAGAACGGCGGCGGGTATACGAGAAGCGAAATTCTCTGCTAGACCGCGTGAAGAGCACTAGACTGAGCTTCTTCAAGAACCGTGATTTCGATTCTGACGAGAACAACGGTGATGACAACGATGAAGAAGCAGAACAAAGAACGCAGTTCCGTTCCATGTGCGAGCTACGGCATCGTGGTTTAATTAGAAACGAGTTTCGGCGATCGATTTGCGAATGCGACTTGAAAGACATAACGGAAGACGCGGGCAAGAATTGCGCAAGAAGAAAAAGACGTGCCAAGTCGCAAAGCAGGTCACCATACGAGAAGCAACAGGAAGAACGATTCTCTTTTCTAGGTTTTTGCACCTCAACACCTCAAAAGCAGTTGGAATGGCCAAAAGATGAACAGGATTCAATCCAGAAAAACTCAATACCTTACGATTGGAAAAGAAATATCAGCCACGATCTTATCAAGGAGAAATGCGGCGCTAATCAGCCCATCAACCGGACGGTAATTGATACGAAAGTACTTGAACACACGACCGACGAGACGATTTTGAAGCAAAACACACATCGATTCGACAGTATCACGTCGTCCAGCTGCTTGGCAGCAAAGTTTCGCGCGATGCAGGATCGATATCTAAAGAGCTCGAAAAATCGACTTGTGGCAAAAATCTACAGAAAGGGCTGCAAGGACCGGCGGCAGTTGCGCAGCTTCTCTTATGGCACGCTGTCGGGCCTCGAGGAACTGCGGACAAATCCGCTGTACGAGGATCAGGATCAGGACAATAATGATTCTGGAATTCTAGACAACGACTCTGCCACCAGTTCCTTACTAGACGACAGGTGCAGCAGCGGCGCTTCTGGGCTACTGAACAGCAGTGATCACAACGACTCCTATCTGGGGTCACCTCTTCAACTTCCACCTAGAAGACCCATCTCGTTCGCCATGATAAATTCTAATAAAGCCATGCAACTGTTTGTCAGTTTGGATACGTATCACGACAGAACAAAAGACATTTCCGGAACAAACTCCCAGATCGAGGAATATTCAAACGTTTGCCATCCGGCAAATGGTACGTTGATAGATCGTCAAGCAACTCGAGTTGCCTTGGAGAAGACAATTGATATGGAGAGAGACAGACGACTTACAAACCAAGATTTTAGATGGACGCAGCGCAATTCTAATTTGGAAGCGGTAAAGAATACAGCCTACACCACCGAAACAATAATCGTAAAATTGCCGAGGAAAATGTCCGATCAGCGTTTGGGAATTTTTATCGCAAGGAGTGCGGAATCTAGTCCAGGTTATGTGGTGGCGTACGTAGTACCAAATGGACTGGCTGACAAGCAGGGCACCTTGAGAATTGGCGACGAAATTTTGATAGTCAACGGTAAGCGACTGCGCGGTCTGGGCATGGCAGAAGCTAAAAGGATCCTAGCGGGTAACGGCAGCGGACCTGGTGACGTTCACATTGTTGTCACAAGATGTTCGGACATTGATCAGCAGATAAAGAGATTGACGGAAAGTAGTGTAGACTATGAAAACGTTAATATAGAGGATGATCATGGGATTGTCGAGAGTTCATCTGGATCGTATTTCAAGAAACATCAAACCAGATACTATCGAGACAAAAAAGACGAGTCGAATAAGTTGATTTCATCCGAGAAATATGCAACAAACATGGATATCGGGCTTACGCAGAATGTCTCCATGTTTTGCACTCTTCCCAGAAGACCAAGAAGTACTATATCTACATTATTCACAGTACTTTTCGAAAAGGGAATGGGGAAAAAATCCTTAGGATTTACCATAGTTGGCGGAAAAGACAGCCCAAAAGGAAGCATTGGTAATTTTTCCTACTATCTTTTCTTAATCTTATTTTGTATTGTATGTGTCTTCTTACGTTGATATGGATTATAATTTGTCATAAAATCACATATACTCCGTCCAGTGAGGAAAATATACTTGTCTCGGATGAAAATTCGTCCGTTTCGCGCAGGTCTCCCCTCACGGGACGCTTAGAAAGCCCCCCCACTCCACATGACTGTACTGCTCGTGCAGCTTGTCAATGCCAACGCTCTCCCCACTTTGACCGCTCTGCTTCTCCTATGCGCAGACTAATGTATATTCTCTTGCTGGACAGAGTGTAGAGATGTAACAATACGTTGCATATTGTTTAATAAGTTTCATATTTTTCTTTATTTATTTTATTTTTTCTTATCATATTTTTTTTTGTCACAGGTATTTTTATAAAATCGGTACTTCCTAGTGGACAGGCTGCCGAAGATGGTCGTTTGCGCGCAGGAGATGAAATTTTGACTGTGAATGGTCAGATTTGTCATGACTTGACGCATCGCGAAGCCATACAGCTATTTCGCAATATTAAAAATGGGTCGATTGCTTTGCATCTCTGTAGACAAATAAAAAATCGCAAATTACAATAAGTTTCTTAATTTAAATTTAAATTTAAGTAAACATTTAAATTTAAATTTAAATAAAGAAAATAAATAAATATTTTGTTTAATATAAATTAATTTAAAGTTTACTTAAATTAAATTTAGCTTTTATTTTTTATTTTACAGAGCACCGAAAGCTAAGTCGTGTACAGATCTTTTGCTGATGGATACGTGAAAATAATCATTGCTATATTAAGTGAGAGCCAGAGAGCGTTGCAAATCATGTATGTACTGTACATTTTTAGAATTTGCTATAGAAATAAAAGAGAATTATTTAATTTACACGTATATTTAATTACTAATAAACTGGATGTGGCACCCGTCGGTGCAGTTTACATTCTTTATTGTCTTCTATAATTAAAAAATTGCGTATAATGTATTCTACAAAACATTATTCGTATAACATCTTATTTTAAAGGCATTGTAATAATAGTTATAATAATACTACATAAATATTATTAATAATAAAAATTGTTAATTTACCAAAAACAATTGTAATATATAGGGCAAAATAAATTATAAAAAAGAAAAACGTCGCGAAAGTTATAAATTCTTTCTGATAGACTGGAATCTTAAAATGCAATTTGTCTTGAACAATAGCAGATTAGATCTAATTGTAAGTGTAAAAAGCACTTTCGGTAAGTAGTCTGTTTTTCATCAATACTTTTTAGTATGACGCACTTTTTGAGGTACTCTTAGGATATCTGCAACAATCATTATCATTTTTCCCTTATCTTGTTTTTTACATTTTAGTTATGTGACATAATCTTTCCATATTTGTGAAATAATCTTTAGATATATCTTCATAGATAAATATTTATAAACCGTTAATTTTTTACCTATACCTTCTTGTAACTTCTAGCTCGATGGTACCTTCTCTCACTGTTTTAAACAATTCAATGACTTCTTAATGTGTGCGTCCTTTCAAAATTTGTCCATTTAAGCTTAAGATTTCATCGCCTGAAAGTCGAAAGAAATGCATCTTTATATAAAAATAATTTTAATACAGATTAATATAAATTAATTTTAATACATTATTGTTATCCTAATAATAATAAAAAATGAAAAAAAGCAATTTTTGCTTAAAGTTATCAGAATCACTACCTTATTCATAGCGCATGAGCGATGGTAAAAAATTTGTGAGATGTGAAGCTGGTTGAAGTTTGAAACGTTCCTGAAGTGATTTTGAAGAAATGATTCATCGCTCTTTTCCTTTTGCAGAGAGGAAGTTTTAAGATCGACAAACAAAGTACAAAAGAGACAGATCCGATACATGCGTCGGAAGACACCCTTATACCCGAAAAACCACCCTCAAAATTACTTAAACAATTCTCGCCAAGCTAAAAATGATTTGTCGCTCTTCTCCTTCTGCACAGAGGAAGTTCCGAAGTCCTCATACGACATACGAAAGAGACCGATCCAATACACGCGTCAGAAGACACAAAGAGAATTTTTTAAGTGATTTTGGAGGAGGTTTTTTGAGTATAAGGGTGTCTTCCGACGCATGTATCGAATCGGTCTCTTATGTACTTAGTTTGCGAGTCTCAAAGCTTCTTCCCTGCAAAAAGAGAAGAGCAATAAATGTTTAGCGTAATGAGAATTTTTTAAACAATTTTGAGGGAGATTTTTGGAGTATAAGGATGTCTTCCGACGCATGTATCGGATCAGTTTTTTATATATGTCATGTGAGAGCCTCAGAACTTTCTCTGTGCAAAAGGAGAAGAGCGACAAGTTATTTTCAGCTTGGCAAAAATTTTTTAAGCAATCTGGGGTGATTTTTTGAGTATAAGGGTGTCTTTCGACGCATATATCGGATCGGTCTTTTTTGTACTTTGTTTGTAGGTCTCAAAACTGCCTCCCTGCAAAAGGAGAAAGCGACAAATCATTTTTTTAAAATCGCTCCAGGAACGTTCCAAACTTCAACCAGCTGAAATATGAGTGATAATAATAAATGACTAGCCAAAAAATAACCTTGAAAGCTTGTGAGAATATTCTTACAGGATGTTATTTGTGTTTCTATGTTTAAGGAAATCTATTGATTGCCATTATTCAAGTCTATTATACAAATATACGATAAGAAACGATGAACAAGAAGAAAACTGTGATACAGCTGTAAAAAGCGACAGGATCGGTTGAAATTCGAAACATTAGAACGCAAAACGTCGACGTTCTTCTCATTATTGGAGCATCCCGTGGATAGTGCTCGATTACTAGCAGTTTTTAATGTTTTTTCTACTGGTAAAAATTTAATATCTTTCAATAATAATTTTGTAACATTTCTCCTGAGAAGATATCATTTGTTATTTAAAATATAATATTGAGAAAATACTAATTTTTATAAATTTTTTACTATATATTTACATTAATTTTTACTAATTAATTTATACAAAAATTAATGTCAAATCAAACAAAAAATAATAATTTATATACAAAATTTATTTAAGATGTATTTAATATTCCAGGTAAAAATTTTGTCTGGAAACAATCAAGGCCCTATATATTTTTTGAAAAATATTTCTGGGATCTAGGTAAATCTAGCTAGACTCTGCATAAAGTTTGGGACGTCGAAATCGAACAGGCCCTATTGCTGAATCCAGGTCGGCCCAAGATTACGCCTGGAATTTGTTTAGAAAAATTATCTGGAATCTAGCTGGGACCTATAATTTTCCTAGATATTTGCTTGGTTTGTACCATAATTATTTCTATAATTATGTCTGGTTCAGGCTTGAATCTAAAATTTTTCTCTAAAATATTCCCTGGAATCCCAGCTCGGTTTCGACTTCATTTTCTCTTTCATTTTCATAACCGCTAATTTCATTATTTTGTACCATGTGTAAATCACCCTCGGACACAGAATTTCCATGTGCTTCTTTGTATGCACAGTCATTACTGGTAGTGTGATAACAATTATCGATGATTATATTACTGCCTTGCACATCATTGTTAACCTCACTATCGGTTTTTATTATTAGACACATTCTTTTTTCTTACTTTTTTCTCGCGTAATATTTTCGTTTCCTCAACAATTGTGAGGACATCCATGTATTTTCGATGTCACTCATTATCTCAAGTGTCTAAAAACTACAATTATGACCACTAATTAAGGAGACAATTTGTACAAGACAATTCAGGAAAACTGACACCAGAGATGCCAATTCGAGTTCCATGTAATAGAGCAACATAAGGGGTAGGACCCCCATCATGCGGGCATCACACAAACGAGAACCGCTACGTCATTTGTCCGTGTGGCGCTCAGTCACTCGCTTTATAGTATAAAGTAAATTTTCTTGGTGAAAATTAGGTAAATTTCAAGATTATACGTATATTCTAGACCTATTAGGGTATTTAAAGCAAGATTATCCAATCCAGGCTCTATAGTTTTATATCTAATTTGGGAAAAATCTGTCAGTTGCAATCTAGGATCCATGTAGATTTTCCCGACTATTTTTTCTCGATAAAATAAAGGTAAATTTTTAGGGTGTATTCTGGACTTAGACGGATATTTTAAACTGGATTTTTCTACTTAGGCCTTGTACTTAATCTCGACAAATCGAGGCAGATTTCTACCTGGGATCTTTTATAAAAATAAAATAAAATTTTCTATCAAATTAATATAATAATGGCTACCAAGCCGTCGCGGTTGTTGGTGTAAAATAATTTATTTTTCATATAGAAACTTATTCGTCTACATTGAAACATTAAAATGTACACCGATCTCAGATTGAGATACTTCGAGTGTACGAAAATTAAGCACATTGATCTTATAACAAAAAATTAGAATGCATGAATTAAATAGGAAATTATTAAAGAAAATTATAAAGAAAAGAAAGAAAAGCGAAAGAAAAAATAATAAGGCGCGAGTGGCTAAGCCGGGACTTGAACTCGTATCTTTCGCTTGCCTTGATGTGTTTACGTTATAAACTCTCCTATAAACAGTTCGAAATAAGAACTGTACGAATACTTATTGCTTCTGTTGATCATTTCTGTTGATTTTTGCTTTTTTTTTGTTTATTTCGCAAATTATACAAATAACTAATTTCTTTTTGCACTGTATCTATTCTAGAGATTTCCGAGAATATATACAAATTCGTTGTTTACAAAAAATAAGTTAATAAATTACAATTTTACGAAGTTTTGTTCGAAATTGATTGATGTACGAATACTTTCTACACCCACTGTACTTTGAAAGGTGCTTAACAATATGGCATCAAAAAAATTTTAATTTCAATTTTTGATCAAAATACCTTAGCTTGTCAGACCCTACGCTTCTAACATTTTTCTCGCCAGTCAAGAAATAAACAATTCTGTAAAAGATAGACGCTATAAAGCCCACGTGATTTAAAACATACAAGAAAAAGGCTCGTATGATAATCTATCAAATTAATATAATAATGGCTAGTGTTTTTTAAATCACACGGGTTTCAAAGTGTCTATTTGCTACTGTTATGTCCTGATAGGACTCCAAGATTCTTTTCTTTTTCGCTAGTTTATACTTCGTTAAAAACGAAACCGTATCTGGCAAATTCGGAAATTAATAAGTTTTGAATTGTTTAAATGATACCGATACCGCTAAACAAGGGTTTTCAGAACTAGCCCCTTCCACACTGGCTCTGATAAAAAATCATAAACTGCCACATAACTTACAGGCGATATTTGAACCTTCTATTGGCCTTTCTAAAGCATTGACAAAACTGACATCATAAACTAAAGGCTTAATCACCACAGCTTCAAATTTTCGGCTGCTCTGAGTTTCAAAACCAAACAAAGATATTCCTTTTTTCTCTTGCGCAACTTGCGCGACGCAAGTATGAACGCTTTCAGTCAAAAACAGATGACACCAGTCAAGAGGTTGCCAGATTGGGTTACTTGGGGTGCGCTCTCTATATTATTATCTAAACATTTTAAAACGGGCGGGTAGTCATAAAATTGTCAACCAAATTTTACTGCATAAAGACAAAAATCACCCCACCAGGCTCTTGAACCACCATTCAACATAAATTTTCCTAAATGTTAGCATTTTTACGACCCACTTAGACCAAAAGGACCAATCGACTTTTCCGTAGAGAGGGGCAACACTTATAAAAACCCACGTTAGCTCTATGACTTCACTATTAGTACATTTTTTTTCACACAGATGTCTTCTGCAGTTAAGTCAGTCCAGCATTTCGAAAAATC